ATTTGCTCCCATTGGTCACACACAGAGAGCTCATCTTATAAGGTAAGATTACAAAACCATCTTTTAAGAGGATTTCAGTGAAAAATTCATAATTATATCTCATATAGTTCAAAAGTTATGGAAAAAAACGTATTTTACAGCAAAATTTAAACGGGCATTTAAAAATTACTACCGCCGAAACAGCACAACAGCGGTATATGCTGGGTATTTAAAATTCCGCTTCAACAGGTTAAGGACTGATAGCAGACATATCAAAATGAAAGTTTTTGTTTCTGGTTGTGCATGTCCATGTTCAGAGGTCATTCCTGGAGGGGGTGGGGGGGAAGTGCAACAAATTCTTTAATGAAATAGCATAACCGGATGCCTTCAATTAAGATTAATAAGACAAATGCTGACAGAATAGTACATAGAGGTTTCCATTTTAAAGAAACCCTGTAATTGAACTGTACTAAACTGAAATGCTCAGAAAACCATCTTAAAGTTAATTATGAACAGGAGGCTTTGCAGCCTTCTGGCTTATTGAACAGTGTCATCTTCTGGTTACACGACATTTCACAGAAACATGCTGCCTCCATCTCTAGTGTTCAACCCTCCATGATGTTGGCATACAACCACAATAATACATGGTACAGCAACACAGATGATCAGAACATTCATCCTGAAAGTTGTATGTTGTTCATACGCTCATACCATAAAGTAAGCCATTTCACATACTGTTTTAAATATAGCAACAAATTAAACTTACATTTTTTCCCATGTTCCTCAACTTCTTGAAGCACTGCTTTCTCAACAATTGGATTCACACATAGCTGCTCAAAATTCAGAGAGTTTAAGCCCAACTTGTTGCCAAGCGTAACCAAGTGAGAAGGGTTTGGTACAATCAATGCCACTGTGTAATGTTTTGTAGCATCTCCATATACGCAGATATTCTCTACCACTGGACAAGTTTTCAGCTCTGCTTCCACCTTCCCCAGTGAGACATACTCACCCAGTTGCAGCTTTACCAGATCCTTCTTGCGGTCTGGTGACAAAAAAGAAAAGAATATAAACTACACTTCAACCTCATCTTTGGGTTACATTTCAAGTTTTTAAAAGTCATTTACATAATCAATTGCAGAGCAAACTGCTAAATGTACACTTTACAGCAGTGGCCAATTCTATTCAAAAGAACTGCCTCATTAGTATTATCTGCAAAGTATTCTGCTACAAGACCATTTACTGACAAGTTTTTATGTCAAACTACTTTAAAACAAACCATGGTCATTTCCTCCACTCTTCCATTTTCATGTACCTTCAAACCTTTGGAACCAAGTAAATCGCACATTATCAAAAGCTGATACAGGACTAAATAAATTACAATCATATTTTCATGAACAGCTTTTATACATTTGCCTGTAGATTTGAATCTGTTATCAGTGCTATGTGCTCTACTGTAACTGACATATTCATGTTTATAAAGCTGATCATTTCTTAAACATATGACAATCACTGTTCACAGGGTGGGTTCTTACTCAAGACAGATTTATTTCACACTAGTATGGTTGCAATTACCAATATAATTACAACCAATTATCCTGGTTTACTACATCAGAAAACAAAAAAATGCAACTAGAAATGTTTGTCCTTCCTTTATTAATTCTTTTTTTCTGTCCTCCAACCTATCTGAGATACACAACCGTTTCATAAACACGATATGTACCCTGGCTGTGCTTAATAGTAGGCTAGGTCAGCCTCAGAGCTGGTCTGTATCCAAGGGCCAGAAGAAAAATTCTCTGTCTTTGCCAAGGGCTAGACTCCAATTAACCGGACAGTATACTGACTGAGTTATCCCAGCTCATATATAAATCAAATATCAAAGGAAATTTGCTCAGGCAAATCCTGTATGGATACACAAAACTTTAGATAATGTAACCTCCCCACACAGAAAACATTTTTTACTTGGGCATAGTGATACGAATAAAGTGAGACCAAGTCAAGAACAAGCAAAATTTCTGAAGAAGTTCATACTGTTGATAATTCATGTGATGAATTAGAACCATAGATTTCAGTGGGGTTTCCTCTCAAAATCCTGGAAAGGCTGCTAAACATGCAAATACAACATGAGTATTTCATTCTACTCACCAATGATTTTCATCACTCCATCCACATGAAATTCACCAACATCCCCAGTTCTGAACCATCGTCTACCATCTTCTTCAAAAAATTCTTCTTCTGTTCTTTCAGGCATTTTATAATAGCCTGGAGAAATATTATCGCCACCAATAACAATCTCTCCTCGAGGGAAAGGTTTGTCAGTTATTCTATATTTGCCTTCTTCCCAGTCTACTAATCTTATGTCGCAACCAGTCACTGGAACACCAGCACGTCCTGTTGTTCTATCATGACCTGATACAAGAACACAATTTGTACATGATAAAATAACTCACTCAATAAATCATTCTTCTTACTAAGACAGTTCTTCACAGTCTAAATGTAGCTATTGTTCATTAAAACATTATGTTGTCAATCACAGAAAACAAACTTTATGTCCTGGATAGTAATTATATGGCAGCATAGACACTCATACTAGAATTCTCAAGGGTAAGCAAAGAAGAAGCATGGCTCAAATTTTTTCAAAGCAAAATTCAATCAACAAAGAAGCAACTAGCTTTCAACCTCTGCACTTTCAGTATTCTTATTACCACCTCAGTAGATGGACAAAGTATGTAAACTTATGCTACTCCGCATCCCTACAACAGCTGAAATGCTAAAGTAGAATGTGCATGTATTTAACTTACTGTCCATAACAGTTGCACTAGAGCACGTTTCTGTTAGTCCATAGCCTTGGATTACTTTAACACACAAACAAATCTTTACAAGTTCGTGGGTATCTGGAGACAGTGGGGCTCCACCAGATAGGACCAACCTAAGCTTTCCACCCATCAGCTGCCGTGTCTGACCAAATATCACCCTGGAAAGTGCAACAAAGTTGTATAATTAATGTATTAACTAATTTTAAAGTCTTTTATATGCTTCAACATCAGTTTGAAGGTTAAAATTACCCCAAATGGCAAAAACATCCCTTCCCTCCATACCTGTTTTAAGAAACTTTAATGTACAAGAAGCACTACATAAAGCTGTTCTAAATATAATGTCAACAAGACAGAAGATGTTCCATTTAATTTCTTCCATAGTTCTTTCAGATGTTTTTAAATCTACAATTCCAATTACCCATGTGCAACTGTTTAAGCTTCTGACAATGTTTATGAAGAAACAAGAGGAATTCAGCACTTGCTGACTTTTAAAAATGTAAATTTCATTTTCAGTTACTCAGGCATGTTTCACAGTTTAAATTTAGGTAAGTCAAGTCACAGACAAAAAAATCTCTTCAATGTTTCTAGATTTCTATTATTTTAATGATAATATTCCTTAAGTGTCTCATGGATTCAAGATTCTGTTCTCAAATAATCTAATCACTTGTTTGGGCCAAAGAATGAGCATCAGGGTGGGCAGAAATTCAAGACAAATGACAAACCAAATTGTAGTGTCCTGAACTGGCTACATAGTCAGCCTACTTCCTTCTTTGCTGCCAGCACGGTGATGGCAAAAATGTGTAAGTGTAGAGAGAGAGAGAATGTATTGAAAAGGAATAATAGTTTGGTTACTAACATGCATGGTTTGTGTAAACAAAAAAACAAAAAAAAAGTCCAGGTTAACCTTGACCACAACTGTACTTCCTGAACCAAAACATGACATAGTTACCCAGAACTCAAAACTACTGGTTTCAGAAATATGCAAATAAAGTAAATTCTCCATCTCGCAACATATGATTACATAGCTATATGTTGGTAGGGGAAACTGACTTGATATGGAATGACCTGATTAATTTGTAGTTACTATCTTTATCCATTTTGCATAGCCATAATTGTAAAGGCACTGTTGGGGGAACAAACTGTAGAAGAATATACATACCTGTTCATAAGAGGAGTATCAAAGCCTCTCTTTGTCCATACACGTTTGTATTTGTACGCAAAGTTGAACAATGCTTGTGTGAAATCACTTCCTTTGGAAACTTTATCATGGATACCCTTGGATATCCGATCCAGTATTAACTGAAATAAAATGTTAAGAATATGATAATTACAGAATATAGTGCATCAGTACCTTATTCCACCTAGATGTTAACAGTAATATTCAAATGCAGTTGGAAAGTCTACATTTTCCTCATGCTTTACAAAATGGTTTATGCCACTAAAAACTAAATTATTATTCAACATTTTTCATAAAAGACTGTCAGATGCTAATTTCATACACCTACATTAATCAGATTTTTTGTCTATAATAAATTTAACGACTTATAATAATTGGATTTTGAGTTGTCAAGATATTTCTGACAGCTTCACACACAAATTATTACCTCTCATGGCACCTTCTTCAACATGTAGTATAAAAACGTTGTGATCACATAATGCAGTGCTTTCCCTGTGTAAAATGCTGTTCTGACTCTGCATTTTACCCAATTTAGATCTTGTTATAGATGCTCTTGTTCCACTGAGATTTATTAGATGAATGGTGATTCATTTGGGTAGGAATCCTAGTTTATACTATGAACATAGCTGGCATTGTAATAACTTGATGTTTGTCCTGAAGTTGTCTTTACTGTCTTCTAGGTAACAAACTTGGAAGTCATCTCAGATTATGTACTTCATTTCATACTTACATCTTTCCCCACTACTAAAGTGAGGAGGTCAAAGATGTAAAATAATGATTTATATCCCACTTTATTTGCTCATTTACTTATTGAAGATACTATTTTGTTAACATATCTCCAATTTTTGTCATGAAGAATCATAATTTGCAGCCAGTTCAACAGAAATTCATGAATATCACTATTTATACCACGTATATACAAAGTACTCACGGGCACTGCAGTGAGACAGGTTGGTCGAAGAACAGATGCATCTCCTTTGGTTCCCTTCTTAATCTTACTTGAACTGTCAAGCATGGTCAATGGCGTTGAGTACCCAATGGAAACGCCACAGAGCAGGCATACAGATTCTGAAAATTACATTGCATGTTTATTAGCATAGTAAATTAGGAATGACCATCACTTTTCCCTTTTTGTAACCAATGAACCAAAGTTTTATGAAAACAGGAAGTGATGCTAATATTTGTAATTTATGATTATGATACAAATGTGGGAGCTGCTCTTAACAAAGCAACTGCACTTCCCATACCACATTTATTATGCACAGACATAATGGTCCAGTCATGATAAAACAAGCCATATTTACAGGATAAAATACTTAAAAACAAAGTTTCGGATAAACAGCATAAAATCTTTAACAACACATGTTGCTGTATAATAATTTGGAAGAGAACAGTCAGTATAGTAACTTGCTGACACATGCAGAAAGGTGAGCCAATTCTAACAGCAGGACTTGTACAAACACTTGAATGTTGTGGAGTACAATGGACAGGGCCAAAGCTTTGGTACACTTTCCTTACATCACACAAAATACTTCATTAAGTATTATTTAAATAGAAATTAGCCTCACTGGAGGATAGTGACCATACTACTAGCAACCAGCCATTCTACCAGTTGAGCCTCTTGTAACAGCCATCTTTTATCCATGAAGTCCAAGTATCAGTAATACACTTTACACTTTGTTTATACTTAAGCAACTCTGGAATCAAATGGTTTATGTACATAACCTTAGAAAGTCTCCTTAATGACTTATGCTTTACCTGCAAGAAGTTCAAATACATGTGCCAGTGGCAAGTAGCCCATGAAAACATCATCATTGTAAATATAGACAGCATCTGCGAAGGCCTTTAGAGTGCTTATCATGTTTTTATGTGTGAGCAGAACACCTTTAGGAGCCCCTGTAGATCCACTTGTATACATGATGATGGCTATGTCTTCAGCAGAAGGTGGAACCTCAGCTGCAAAAATAAAAATAATATATAACTACCTATCAGATTTACAAAATGTGTGTGTTTGCACAAAAAGCTGTTATTTGAATTTAATTTTGGTTCCTATCATTTCATTACAAACATTACAAATGCATACATTTTCCAAGCATTATTTACATGTACACTACATCAAAACAGATTTCAAACAAGCTACAGAATGCAAAGGGATCTCTACATTTTATGTCATGTAACAGTTTTTGTACAGTGTGCAACAAAAAATAAAGAGCTTAAAGGAAAGCTACGGGATTCTGAACATATTAAGATGCCAAATCTTGAAAATAGCCCTCTCAAGGGCTAGCATACCAGTTCATATTTCCAATAATGGAAAAGTAAAATTCGGCTACCTTCATACTTCAAGTCTCGCCAATGTTGTACAAATAATAAAGTGATAAAAGTGGACAGCACCAAAAAACAATGACTGCTTCTTACTCATTAACAAAACTTACCAAACTGTGGATGCTTTATAGACAAACAATAATTACACATTCTCTTTGAAATATCAAAATCCACTTCCAATTGCTCTTCATATTTTGAATCATATACGTAGTTGACTAATACACAACAGCGCAATTTAAATGAGTATTTGTGCATATACAACACACATTAAAAAAAAATATCCTGCTACCATGACCTGAATTTGCATTCTTAACATTCCCATCACTATTAGTCTTACATGTAACCCACTTGTCTACCAGCAAACATGGAAGTCCACGCCAAGTACAGTCTTTACCTTTGGTTTAACATGCAACCTTGCTCCATGTCTTGGAAAAATCACTTATATTAACACATATTTTTCTACACATGTTGGTGTCCTTGCTTAATACATATCTGGCACACAATTTTAATTAAAGGAAGGTAGAGAAAAGCCACAAAGAGAAAAAATAAGGAAAATGCAAAAGATCAGAAATATGATGCCAGCAGTACACTTACATCATTTCTGGTTTTGTTGTACAGAGTATACAATTCACTGACCAGGCTGGGTCTGATCTGTAGACTACAAGCTAGCGTTATGGTGGGGATGGAGAGAAAACGCATGTGAACAAAATAATATATATACATGAGATCATGGTGACGAGAATGATCTTCAGAGTTTTGGTGTAATGTCTACACAGTGCCAAAACCCAGAAGAATAGCATCAACATAAGAGAAGCACACAGAAACTTACCAATATCAGACAGTTCTCCAGATTTCAGCACTTCTGAAAATGGGACGATATCAATGCCACTCTTAAATCCAGAAATATCTGTCTTTGCTAGCTGATCTTCCATATAAATTACTTTCTTCACGTTTGGAGTTTTTGCCAATACATTCTTAAATTTCGGTAACAAGTCATGTGATGTAATAACTAATGACACTTCAGTTTCATTTATCCCATGAGCTATTGCTTCTTCACCTAATGTAGCATATATAGTAACCACTGAAATAAAGAATACTCTGATTAATACAGTGTTTTCATCGAACATGTTTGCAGGCTCTTACGAACACAGTAATAGACCTTAATGTTCCATAAGACATGAATTTCTTCACCAACTGGGCAATTATTAACTTCTCAAGGAGGAATCTGTATCATGAAGTCTGTGATTAAACATATGTGAACATGCCCCGTTTCATGCAGGGTTGAGCTACTGAAAAATTCAGTTAACTGCTGGTTTCACTAAATACAGAGCTTCCCAGATGTTCCATCTGTATCATGAGCCAGTCGCAAAGTGACCTCTATGACCCCTCAAACAATAAAGGATTACCTTACTCACCAGGAATGTTTTGTTTGAAACAGCCATGAGCTGCTATAAGCCACTCAGCTCTGGTTTCAGCAAATAAAACTACATTGGCTTTGGAAGGTTGTCCAAGTAACCTCAGGCCTCGGCCAAAACTAGCGGCAAGTCTTTCAACTTCTGTGAATGTTTTCCATTTGTAATCTCCCATAACATACTAGAAATAAAAAAGAAAAAAAAATTTACCAGTACAACAGAGAATTTCAGTAACCACAAACATTCACATAACAAAGAAGTCTTTCAACAAAAGCTGGAATCTTTATACATTATCAGTTTCATATAAATAAATTAGATTTACTGTAAATGTAGAGTGGTATGTTTGTAAACTCCAATATTTAAAAAATAAAACTCTAAACTTTTGTGGCTACAATCACGAAGACAGAATATTACCCATCCAACATCTCACCTTCTTGAACACTCGCTTATTTGGCTGAACTTCATCCTCTTCTGCAAGTATCTCTCGTGTTCCCAGACATCGTTTTTTTTCATGCAGTTTTGATACAAAATGCAACATTTCTGTCATTGTCTCTACTCCCTCACGTAACAATTGAACATGAACCTCACGAGGCTCTTGCAAACTGCGATACGTAATGGACTTTTCTTCTATAGAAACAGGCTGAGCCTGTTAATAAACAAGGGAAACATACAGAAATAAGTTTTTCACTTTCACTTCATACATAATACAAGAAGAGAGAGAAAAAATAACATAAAAACAGATGAGCATTAACAATCCCTCACATTCACTTTTTGTGCCACTTAAAACAACAATATTGAAAGAATACTCACTTTTACTCTTCTAGACAACGTCTTCTTTTCCCATGGCCTTTGCAAAATGAGATATACAGGGTATGTAATGATGTCGCATACAAAAGCCAAGACTTTTATGGCACCAATGGTTCCTTCTATCCAGAAGCTGCCCATGTTCCTACAATGACAAAACATTAATAAATTATACATCAAAGGGCATTCCATGTTTCCATTTTAGTAAAAGGAGAGCCAAGCGGTACTCTGTACCTATTCTGGAGGTACACTGGATCTTGTTCAAATACCTCTCACAGATAAGCTAAATACACATAAAATACCTTTATCTGAACTATTTAAGATGGACCAAGTGGTCTGGTAAATACTAACATTTCAGAGAAGAATACAGCCTCCATCACCAGGATAAAGACCCTATGAAATGTTGGTGAATATCTAACAGACTACTGTTCGTGACTGTAATCTTGAGACTTGGAGGGTGAGGAAGTGGGGTGAAGGAGGAAAGATAGCTTCTGCCTTTAACACTTTGGACTTACTGCATTCCTTGCAAGTCTCATGATTACAATTGCAAACTTTACATAGAGCAACAACTCAGAAGACATCCATCTTCAACTTGAGACCTGACTGAATTTGCAGAACGACTGCTACCATTCAATTCAGAATCTTTATCTTTCCATCTCCAGCCTAGAAATCTGAAGATTAAAACATAACACCTTATATAAAACTATGATGTTTTTTTAAGGGTGTGAAACTTGGCTCACACATTTAAAGGAAACCCACTGAGGGTGCTTAGGAGAATGTTTGGACCTAAAAGGGAGGAAGCAACAGGAGATTAGAGAAAATTGCATAATGAGGATCTTCATAATTCACAGCCTTCTCCATATTATTAGTATTATTGACAGACGTGATGGCGAAAATTTTAAATGTACATTCGAATTTTGAGCATTTTTTTTCCACACCCTTGCACAGCGTATCAGCAGCTGAAATTATGTGTACAATCGTTACTAGAGGCTCTGTTGACGAGCAAAATTTCACGTGAGGTTTTGACCTGACCAACCAGACCATTCCCTTGTTAGCACAGCTCACAGGGGAGGAAATAATCAGGGCAAAGGGCTGCAAACTCCAATATATACTAATGCGACAATGCCAAAGGAACCTATGAATTAACAATTAGTAAAGGAATGGAGTGCAATACGGTTTATTTAGTCTACTAGAGCAACGCGCTCATTTCGGAGCGCTTTCTCTAATCTGATATTTTACTTCTTTACGTCGCTGTTCAGAGGCCAACTGTTCTTGGTCAGTCAACTTTCTACGTCCAACCCCACCCTTGCAAATCTTCGTCTGCTTTTTTCCCTTCTGTTCTTGTTGAATATGTTTTTTTACGTTTATCAATGTAAGTCTTCTTTCACTTTTCTTTATTTGTTAAATAGATCTGATGTTTTATTTCCTTACGTGGCTTTTCAGAGGCCAACTGTTCTTGGTCAGTCAACTTTCTACGTCCAATCCCACCCTTGCAAATCTTCGTCTGTTTTTCTACGTGAGTTGTTAATATGGTCTAAGTCATCAGAAAAGTGAGAGACGACGTTATATCTGTTGACATTATTGATGACGCCATTTTTTGACGACAACGAGGAATCACACATTTTTATAGTAGATAAAGAAATAGAATAGAAGAAGATTATACTGCATGCATAAGAAATGAGCCTTATGGCATGCTCAGTCAATAATGTTGCAGGAGTGGTTTAGAAATTCCAATACTTCTTATTGCATTGTTGTACATGCAGGTGTTCATATAAAAGCTGACCACTGTCATTCTAAATTTACACATTCTTTTTAGTTAAAAATAATACAAAGAGAATTACTCAAGATATAATTTGGTTACATTCCATCCTAACCGAAAAAGCATAAATTAATATTAAATATTTTCTCTATAAGAATGAAATATATTTATAAGTAATGAAAAGAGGCATGAAGAAAATTTTACAATTACATGGAAACAACTCTCATATGACAACATAGTGTCAACTTGTAGGATAACAATATTTTCACCACTGCAGAAAATGCACACCTCAAACGCTCACACAGATTTGCTTCTTAAGATGACACTGCAATGCCTGAATCTAATTCAAACCATATGGCTGACCTTGCAATGAAAGTCCTGTATGTTGTTCAAACATTTTAAAATCAGATGTTATGCCACACATAAACAAACATTTCATTTTGTGCAGTTCATATATCCCTTAATTCTATAGCCTCAAAATTGTAAATTAACTTACATATATATCTGTTAGTAGATGTAGTCTGAAATATCGACATATCTTCAAACTTTAATTTGGTTCAAACTTCATACTGTCTGTGCAAAGTTTTCAAGACAATTTGCTTGGACACTCAGTGACTCAACCAGAGAAGCAACTTTGTTCTTTAAGAGGGATATGGGTTGAAATTTCGTTGCTTGTTTTAAAACTGTCATCAAATTCTACTCTTACAGTACACTTACATTCATTTTATATTATTCTAACTTGCCAGTCAATAAAACAATATTTATCAGTCCATTGGTCTTGAAATAATCTTTTATTTTCCAGTTTTCATTTCCTAATTTTTAATTTCATCCATAGATGTCTGCATTACTGAACAATTTCACAAATAACAACAACCATACTTAATGATTACTTTGATATAGCTTTATGAATTTTCAGTGCCAAAGTGAGCTTTAACAGTGCTTGGCAGGTTTTTAATAATAAAAGCAAAAAGGGGGAGAAAAATGAGATCACAGCCCATGAACGCAATAAAGGACATCTGTGAGCGAACAGGCATGCAAGCAAAACTCAACTTTATGTAAACTGTGACAACAATCACATTCACTGACATGCACAGAAAAGATGTAATTTCAATTCAATAATATCACGTACTACATGCATGTGTCAATTCACTTAATTTGAGTGGCCATTGGCTTCAAAAACTTAAAAACATCTTTCACAAACAAATACTTAAATTAGACAATTTAATGTCTGCCTGCAGTGGTTCAGAATAAGGCACTGCTACACAACCAGAAAATAATATAAAAGTACAGCAGATCATAATGAAGTGGAGTTGAGAAATTACTTGCTCTGTGATTGCTAATTATCTGTATTCTGGAAAAATATTTCTATGTACATGGAATTACTATATTTTAATAATACACATTATTTAAGTTTATACCTGTATAAAAACAGACATTGACTGTAACAAAAGAAAATTACAGATGAAACAAGAGACAAACTGTCAGAATACACATTAAATACCATTGTTGTGGAGTAATAACTCTGAATTAACAACTACAAATATGCCGCAATATAATCATGCTATCATTCGCAAGCTCAGCTAACAGTCCAATCAAATTCAAGCATTTACACATGCATATTTATAGAAACTCAGCTGAATGCTACAACTTCTAATTTTACTCACTTTTCTTCAAACATGTTTTGATTTGCTGGAACAAGGAAAATATAAAAATCAAACATTGGCAATCATATGGAATGATTTTGTAAAACTAAGGACCAGTTATAAAAGTAACATCAAAAGTTTACTTTTAAATCAAGTGTCACACAATGACACTGCAGTGTCCCTAGTAAGAGCGCAGGACAGAAACTTATCACTGATCAACTTTAGGGTTTCACAAAATTCCAGGAATGTTCAGTTCCTAATTAATCAAAGTCTCCTACTTTCATCCTTCTTTGAACAAATTATTTCCATCTATTTCAGGGTCAAACCTGCACGTTGTCGTGGTGGTGGGGCTTGAGTACCTCAGTGACCTCAAGAGCTACTGGTAGGGCCTCCCTAGCCAGATTGGTCGAGGGGGAGAGGTCAGACTAAGACAGGTACCCTGGTCCTCCAGGTTGGGGGTTGGTCACAAGGCTAACAACCTTGCACCGAAACCTCAATCAAAGCCTCGGATAGAATGGACCTAACAGAGGATCGAATGGAGGAGGAGAATTGAGGAGGCCATGGACCGAATACGGACCGGAGAGCCATAGAAGAAGAAGAACCTGAATGCACTGTATGAGCACAAATATATAATATCCAAATGATTCCGCTATTAGTCAATGAAGTTTTAGGTAACCACGTGCGACAACTTCAGCACAGTATAACCAGTGGTGGCCAAAATTTTACAAAAATAACATGTTGGTGCAGTACAATCCTATGGTAAAGCTGTACACAGGGCCCAGAATTTTTTTATTTCACAGCATTGCATATGTAAATACAACTCTCCAAGACCAGAAGTCATCATCCATATTTCATTGATGGCTTCATCATAAACATCTTCAGGATAGTTTCTGTCCCAGATAAAATACTTGAAAAAGCCTTTCCTAATGGAATGTGCCCGATAAACATCACCAAGAGGATTGCTGACATTAAACAGGCTAGTGATGATGATCACCAGAATGGAAACATGTATCCAAGGTGATTTATACCTCAGTTTGGAAGTCTGCCTGGGTCTGGGCCTCACCTAATGCCTGTGAACGGGTTCGAATCTGGCATGGTTCAAATGACAGCAATCAAACTTCATATGCAACATATAGAACCATCTCGGGCTACTCTTTTTCGAGAAGAAAACATTTGTTGTTGCATTGATCTTATGACCCTGGCACTATCTGACTCCGGAAACAAATTCCCTTCAATTTCTCGGGATATTCGTAGCTTCCCTTCCCAGAAATAGTTCGAGATAACACCTTACAAGCTTTTGCATTCCATATCTTTGCACCATTCCTCAGACGCCTTATTAATCCAAGACGTTTTACAGCGTGGTTAAATAATTCATTCAATACTGAACGGCATGCATTAAAAGAAACGTGTATAAGGATACGATACCAGCTCTCCATTTATACCATCTACTCCTGTGTCTTTATATCCATAGTAAGCAAATCTGTTTCATGTTATACATTTTCAGTCACGAATTTTTTGAGTTATACAGTCTTCTTCCAACCTCGTTTTTAGGTAATAATTCTTACCTTTGAAAATAAAAATTGTGTTAAACACTTTACGCCTGTAGCAAACTTTGGCGTTGTCGGTGTTGAACTTCCGGGTTCTGCTACCAGGAAGTGAGTTTAAACATGGTGGTGTGTTTCAAGTAAGTTAATTTAAAAAAAGAATGAAGGTACAACGCCCCCGAATACTTTGCTTAAAAGCAAACTGTGCGTATTTGTTAAGCTGTAAGACAATGATAACACAAGATATAAAACGAGTATTATATTAGAGCACGTGGATCCAATTATTGCTGGAGCAAAGGACATCACCTACAAACGTAAATCATGACGGTGAAGATTTCAAATGAAAACAGAATATTTCTGTAAACCAAGTTTTCAATTTTCACTTATTTTGTGAAAATAAAGTTAGAAATCTCTATTATAACAGCGTAAATGCTTTTATATTGCCAATAAAATCGTTGGGTAGTGTAATTTAAACCATCTCCAACATTGTGGAACAGTTAATCTTGAGAAGCTGACAGTCGCTTGGCCGGTCAAGATATTTCTCGCCCTTTATGGAACCCGAAGGTTCATTACCTTGTCCACAAAAGCTCTGAGGTAGATAAATTCAGTCCACAACAGTCCATTTTTCAGCAACATAATTTCAAAATCTTTACAACACACCCAAACGTCTTACGAGGTCTTTTCCATTCAGGTTTTTTTAACGAAAATTCTGTGTGAATTTCTGATCTATATTGTGGGTGATAAATACCCTTCCATACAATTCTCCTTCATTTGATCATTGTAACAAGCATAAACCATGACCGTATAACCACAAAATGTTGAGGATCCTGAAGACTTATGCCACAAATAAACCTTGGAATCTTGTTAACGACGCGGAACAACCTTGCCTAGTCCCAAGCGCACAGAACGCATTGCGAAATATTTTGCTTTTTACCTTAGGGCAGGTTTCTTACGTAACTGTGTACTTACACAATAAGGTGGTTTGCTACGCAAACTAGAAGTCATTCGCGACATAATATTATCATACACACTAGTCAGCTTATCTTATATCCTAGAATCACTACCAAAGAAACTGTTGTTCGTAGTAGCAATAAAAAAAAGTACTTTAGATTTTTTACACATACTACCAAAGAAACTGTTCGTAGTAGCAATAAAAAAAGTACTTTAGATTTTTTACACATCCTACATTTTTATAAGTTTCGCCCTTGTAATCTTCCCATCTCCGACACAGAATGTGTAAACACTTAACAGTTCTCGCCAACTACCAAAGCCTTCCGACGTAACTCAGCGAATCTAAAAATAAAAATTCAAACACCAATGTCGGCAAATGTTAGCAGACAGTATAAAAAACAATCAACGCGAAATAAATTTTATTACGTATTCACATGTCAACCGTTTAGAAACGTAAATGTTTCTTCCTTCACAAAGTACAGTTTAATTACTTTATATATAATTCTGTACCATATATACGTGTCCGTATGTGTGGAGCGGAGAATGATCTTGAGTGTCTGTGTTTAGCAAATTCAACTTACAATTAAGCAAATGAGCGTCAAATTTCAGTACCATATGTAACTGCCCGGAAAGCCTGTCATACATGCTGACTTTGCCATACATACCGGAATTACATGCAACGTATTACATCGACCACACGAAAATAAAAAATGCTGTGTTAACTCACTCCTTATCGGCCGATGCTTATGTTTATGCTTAATAGCACGACATATTCCTGATACGGAGTAACTTATGCCGCTGACTCATAAACCATTAGCTCATTCCACTGAGCTGTCCTGGAGCTGGTTTGGAAATTCCGCTCCCTTTACGAAACCCAAAGTTCCATTCTCGTGTTCGCCACTGGGCCCTATTCTAAATTACCCTAGTTCTGCTCACATTCTCACAGCTTATTTCTTTCAAATTCTCTTTAATATTGTCTTGTCTACGCCTACATGGTCCGGTCTCTTTCATGCCCCACACCCACCCCTCCTAGATTTAACCACCCTGATAACTTTTCTCCAGCCTCCTACTTCCTCTCTCTCTCTCTCTTGTCCAGACGCGGGTTTACGCACAGGCTAAGCTAATTTCAGGGGGGCGGCAAAATTACTCTAATAAGGTCAGTTTCCCTTCCCCCAGTCTAGTCCTCTCTTTATACAAAGGCTGCCCCAAAAAGATGTACACACAGCAGCAACTTTGGTGGCCGCCTGTCAGCCTTTCCTCGCCGCTGTCAACTGTGCCACGAAGCTAACGATGGTCACTTTGAACACCTACACTAGATTAGCTAATTTATTAAGTGCCAATACTGACGTATTGTAACGATTTAGTTTATTAAAATGTATATTTCATTAAATAAATTTGTCCATAAATCTTTTTGGGGGCACCTGTATTTTTTTCATTCTCCACGGAACACAGTCAGGGCGTCCAAACAGACTGGAAAACAGATGAAAGACTTTCAAGTACCACAGGGCTTTCGCTAATGAGGAAGTTTTGATCTTTAGTGGCTCGGCAACACTGCTTACAGTTCGTAGTCACGATTATCCGACTTAATAAGGCCGAACGACGGTCGGATAATACAAAAGAACAATGCAAAAAGACAAAGGAAAATATCAACTGAATTTACGATAGTATTACATTACGAAGAAAATACAATATGGAATCGAACGCGAGACAGCGTGATTGTTGATCGGACACCAGGCTTGTGAAACACGACTACGGGCAGCTTAAAAAAGTTGGGGCTGTTCGGGTAACCATCACATGGCTGCGATACTTTGACAAATTCCACGCTTGAGGCACATTTTCTGTTCATCTTCCCACAAGAACACAGGCATGTGAATTTCGTTAGTTTAAAAGCAATACATTCGAAACTTAAAATTTATTAAAACTGGTGGATGTGGGGCCGCACAAAACACAGAAGATATCGCACGAGGCCCGCGGATAACAACTCATCACGTGCACTACAACCTAGACCGGTTCTTGGCTTCCGCCCCGCGGATAACACGTCAGTCGTAAATTATATAAAAAAAATTTGCACAAGGACGACGTATAAGTTTTATTATGGCGTGTTACGTTTACGCGCGTGAGGATGAATACTGAAGACGAAATTAAGGTCACGACTGGAGAACAAGACGCTGTTACGGGAACACGCAACCTGAAGCATTTCTTCTAAAAGTGAAGTAACAATGACGTATCTTTCGACATTCACAGACTTTAAGTTGCTATCAATTTTGTGAATGGAGTTTCGATCTGACACTGCCACATTTTGGTAGGATTTATTACCTACGCCACTCAACATTTAATTGTTGCATAAAAATAGCTAAACGTACTTGTATCGTTACAACATATAATCATTATCTACAGTATTTATTTAAAACAGTTTACGATATAAAGTAGGTTCAGCGAAATACAATAATAAATAATTCCCGCCTATGCAGCGTAATAATAACTGTAGTGTGGTTGCCAAATGATTTGCATCAGCAATAATATTCACTTTTTTTTCAGGCAAAACCAAGGT